AAATGCATCCAGCTAAGTAATTCAAAGACCATTGTGCAAATGAGACATCTGAAGAAAAAGGACAAATCATCTAGAAAAAAAAAGTCCCAAGAAAAAGAGTCATTTGGCCTATTAGCATGTTACATCTCCAACAGATTTAAATTTCATAAATCTTCTCAAATGTTTGTTTCTGCTATTCTCTACAGACATATAATGCAAATGATCTTTTTTGTAGTCTCAGTCCAATTAAAAATTAAATCTAGCTTTGGAATTGGAGAGGGACTCTCTCCTCTAAACCCAAGCATGCTTATTAAAGTGAAATCCAAAATCTCTGTCTCATATCAGAAGAGTCACCTGATATGGGACAGGAAGAAAAAACAAAAATTAGGGGACTATTGTATTGTCACTAATCTCATAATCCTTTGGTTTCATTTTGACTCTTTAACAGCTTTTCTTAGGGAATAAGTATTATCTCATAATTTATAAATTTAATTTATATATTTTAAACTTTTTGTCATGATATTAATATTCATATAGAGTACTAATTCTAGAAGAAGGCTTCATCTAGCTTCCTATGATTTCATGTTTGAGTCTCCATCTGGTAACTAGAAATTAAGTTTTTGTACTTTGTATGGACATAACAAAGTATGATCTTTTAATCTCTGAGATATGCTATAATGACATTTAAAATGTTTAAATTTATTGTAGTTAACCAAGACCATACCTAACAGTGACCTCTGAAGTCTCCCAAAGGAAACAGGACCCCACAATGACAATTCCCCCAGAACTATGATAATGCCACTAAGCTGAAAAACACCACCTAAAGATTGGCTTTTGACTATAAACTGCTATAATTTTGAGATGGCTAGCTGAGATGATCCAGCCTCACAGACTACTCTATCCAGGACTTGAGATAAGTCCTACACATTCCCATTACGCAGAGACTGGATAACAAATGATAAAGCTACCTCTCCCAGGACTTGACAATTAAACCAAATCTTTTCAGGATCTCTTAAAGATGTCATCACCCTCAGAAAGCAGGAAGTAAATTTTAGAGCATGATTCCCACATTCCCAAGAGGCAGGGTAGGTGGTGTTTGGTCTTTCATTGGGTTATGTATATTTGTCATTGCTTTTGGGGGGTGGTTACAAGTCATTATTGGTAATGGTCAGGAAAAAAAAGTTGAACAAAGGAGTTTAGATTCAGGGTTAAGTTATTGTCTTGAAAAGAAAAAAGGGGATATAGGTATGCTAGGATGTAAAGTATATTATTGAGTTTACTCTGAAAAGAAAAAGGGGAATATAGAAATAGGATTAAAAGGTAGTTTGTTGAATCTGCGTTTAAACCAAAAAGGAACTACTAGTCTTAAATATTTTACATTGATATGGATTTTGGTATATTGATACAAATTTAAAGTTATTTTGGTTAGAACTTATTATACATACGTTTCTATTCTTGTTCAAGGTATTACCTATACAGCTCATTTAACAATGTAATGCAAATTTCTAGTCCTTGAAAGTTATTATTACCAACTATTTAGGATAATAAGCAAATGCAAATTAGAAATTAGTATCTATTATAATCACACTTGTAGTCACATTAGGTATGTTTTCAAGGTCAGAGATATATTTTAGATAAATAGGTCATTTTTGAACATTTCGGAGATCTACATAATATGGTATTTAAGATGTTTTACTAGCACAGGTTCTTTTATAACAATGAGACATGTCTATTCCTGGCAGCGCCAATCTACTTCAGAGAAAATGATGGGCACCAAAGAAACTCCATATGGAGTTTACTTCTTTGTGACAAAAGTAATCCACTGGGCAAGAAAGTGTCCTTGCCTTGACAGCTGAAAGTATGGTGTGCAAATTGGATAAGCAGGACACAACAAAGAAAAGGACTGCCAAACTTTGCCAAGACAAAGTAAGTCAGTCCTTCTGAATATCCTCCCTCACAGAAAAGTTAGTCAGATAAGCTAAGCCTGTATGCCAAAGATTGCATGTATGCCCCAACATTGCAGATGGGCTGTGGATGACTGTCCAGGCAGCCAGATGTTTCTGTCATTTCTCACAATTTTTGGAAGTCACTTGCTCACACTTCCTGTTTCCTCAGGAAATATTCTTTCCTTCTCAGGTCTCTGATGGATTTGAAGACATTATAGTTATAGTTAGTTTTCCTTATTACCAAATTCAGAAAAGAAATTCACAAAGAAATATATATAAGGTTGAGAAACATTAAAAGACAATTTTGGCAATGCAAGTTCGAATAGAAAGTGATTTAGGACAACCTTTTTGACTAACCAAGATAGGATAGATGTAGAGTATTTTCTCTGAATTTATCATTGCTAATGGACTAGACATTGCTGATGTATTTGTTGCCTATATACAGTATGTAATTATTGTACATATTATATATAGTTTTTCTTATATTAGTTATAACTTTTCTCTATTGTAGACTAAAGAAAAAGGGAAATATGATGATACCTTGCTTGTATTCTAACAAATAAAGTTTTCCTGAAGATCAGAGGAAGGAGCTAGCCACTAGTTAACTATAGAGGTCTGGAGGTCTGTAAAGACAGACAGGAAGTGACATGACTGGGTGGAGAGAGGAATATAAGGCAGGAGGAGACAGTAGCACAGCCTCTTTTCGGTCTGGAGAGCTCTAGTCGCTGGCTGCTCTGCTTCTCTGAGCTTTCAGCATTTACCCAGCTCTGAGATTCCTCTTGTTAGTTCTCAGTCTCAGAAGTTGATCTGATAGGAAGGAAGTGATGATATGTCTTCCAAAAAAAGGCTGCGAATTGTGGCCCCTGAACCTGGCTGGTTTGGCTGCTGTGGCCTGGCTGCAGTGGTCTGCCATATGCAATGTGCTTAGGTGACATCTAAAAGTCAGGATTGATGGGAGTGGGTAACAAGGCACAGCTGCTGCAGCTGGTACATCAGGATCTGGGGGCACTGGGACCACTCTGTCACCAGACACTGTGCACGAAGCAGGTTCCATGGGACCTGCTCCCTGCTCAGGACCAGGGCTACCTCCCTTCCACTCCCAATATTCCAAGATGACAAGGCTCCTGGATGCAAGCTTCTGGTTTGGATCTGTGGGAACCAATGATAGAAAATTCTAGCAATAAAGTCAAGATTCAGTCACACTGCACACGCTGGCTGCCTGCAGTATTAGGAAGCTTGGTCCTGTATCTGAGTCCACTGTCCTGGGGGGTGTTGGAGAAGAAGGTGGAAGGGGTGAAGCCCTCTTCTCTGAGCTGTGTCAGCTTCAAGCAGTTGCCACCCACTAGGGACAAGTCTAGAAAGAGCCACCCACAGAACTCTCCCAGTGTGGAAGATGGAGGTGGGTCCCCTAAAACACAGCAGGAAGCAGGGTTCTAGGTTAATTCCTGTTGCTATGATAAAACACTCTGATAAAAACTCTAGGCTGCAGTCTGTCACTGATGGAATTTGAGCTAGGGACCTGAAGCAGCTAGTTACACCCACGGTCAAAAACAGGGAGTTGGCGCCTGCTTTTCCTAGGGCCTAGCCTGTTCTGCACTTACAGACTCCACTACCTTCTGCCTAGGTGGTGCCACCCACAGTGGCCTGGGCATCCCACATCAATTACTGTCATCAAGACAACACCCCCCACACATGTCCACAGGCCGATCTGTTCCAGAACATTCCTATTGAGACTTTCATGACCCTGCCCCTTTCTCTCTGCCTCCTGTCACCCTGTTGTCCCTGGCTTCCTCCTTCTCTCACACGGTTCAGTTATTCCTGCACGAACAGCCCAACTGCCTCAGGGCCTTTGCACAAGTTGTCCCCTCTGCCTAGAAGGACGAGTGCTCCTTTCGTCGCCTTCCTCTACTCTCACAAGCTTGAGTTCTACTCCCCACCACTCTGGGTAACCCTTCTTCTTCCCCTGCTCCCTGGCAAAGCAAAACCCCTCGATTGTACATCCGTCAGCTCCTTCATAGCCCTTTGCTGTGTGTTCCTGAGTCTTAACCATCCCCCACAAACTGACATGTTAAAGGACTGATTGCTGGCCGATTGCATGACTGAGAGACTGAGGAACCTTCAGGAAGTAGGGCCTAGTGGGACAGTTAGGTCAGCCGAGGTATGACCTTGGAAGAGAGTCTGGGTCTCCAGCCCATTCCTCCCCACCCCACCTCACCACTCTCTTTCTTGGCTGCCATGAGATGAACATGTTTGCTCCATGGGGTGTTCCTGCCATGCGGGTCAAAGCAGCAGGAGCCAACTGAAGTCAAAACCAAAACAAACATTTCCTCCTTGTGAGTTGTTTATCTGGGGCATTCTCAGTGGCAGAAAATGGGCTAAGTGACCTCCCCTGATCCAACCTCAGGTCCCTCAGCTGGTTGTTTCCTTTGTCCCCAGAGCTTGCTCCAGTGTCCGGCATCTGGAACGGTACAGGAGCTCAGCGAATGGATGAACGAACGAATGAATGAATGAATGAATGAATGATGCAGAGGTCACCATGAAGTACTACATCCTATGTGATTTTTCCTCTCTTCCTCCCTCCCTCCTTCTTTCCAGGGTCTCAGTTTGTAGCCCCAACTGCCTGACAAACTCTTGATGCCCCTGTCTCAGCTTCCTGGGGGCTCACATGCTTGGATCACAGGTGTGTGCCACCATGTCCCGAGTTTCGTTTCTTTCTTCTGAGTTTCCTCTGTAGGTTTGCTAAGCCTGGTCTTGGGGGTTGGTGGCACATGCAAGGTCGAGTCTCTTGACTCTTCCTCCTCCCTGGGTGGCAGGCGCCTCTTCCTGATGCTAACCCCTCCCAGATGGCCAGACTCCTGCCTGTACTTCTCCCTTGCTGTTCTCACATCAGACTTGATCTGGCCAGGCCTCAAACCCCTGGACATGCTGTCATTTAGGACCCGTGTGACCCATCAGTTACCCTGAAGGCTTCCGTCTGCTGGGAGACAGCAATTGTCACTGTCAGAATGGGCCAATTGCTAGGACAAAAGAAAAAAAAAAAAACAACCCTCCAATGAAAGCTGAATTTTCACTCACTCAAAGCGCAGCATGAATGTTCTAGATTGATCAGTCCTCCACTGAAGGGGTGACTCAAAGGTCCTTCCATCATGTGACACTTGTGACTTCGATACCCATGATGTAAAAGCATCCAAAAATAAAAGCATGGTCGATTTACTCGCTCCCGTTGCCAAGGCGGCTGAGGCACTTCATCTGACGACAGTCCTGCCTAGTGGGAGGGAAATAATTAAGAAGCCATGACTGTGACTTTTTCAGACACCTTTGCTGTCATTTTGCTCACCCCCTTCTGCGGTATTTATTCCCTCCCCTTCCCTAACAGCTCCCCTTTTCCCATCCCCCAGTCAGATCACCTGGACCCGCTGTTCCCGTTTAGCCTCCTCCCGTCTTCTGTGTTGGCCTGTATTTATTATTTTTGCACCGAGTCAAGGATCCTGTAAAACACAAGTCAGTCCTTCCTTACAAACCTGCCTCAGTCCCCAGGCACCACCCATGAACCCCGCCTCTCCCCACTGCACTCGCCTTCTGACTTGGTTCCCTTGACCTCTCTAAGACCATTCGCTCATTCTTCCCTGGCACAGCCACCCTTCTGCTCCTTGGGCAGATTGAGTGACTCCTACCTCGGGGCCTTGGCACCTGCCGTGTCGAAGCGGCTCTCCACCAGCAGCTACCCAGCCCATTTACTAACCTACAGTTCATGTGACTGGTTCTGACATGGCAGCCACAACTTCGCGCCTGTGCCACCCCACCCCAGCAAGTCACTTCCTACTTTACCTCTGAAAACTACTGGCTCATCAAAACAGACTTGTTCTGAAATCAAAAGGAGAAACACGGTCTATATCTTTTTTGGTCTGGCTTTGCTCTTTTAGCTGGTCTAATTCGTGACAGGTACTGGCAGAAAGTAAACATTTAGTATCTATATGTGAATAAGGAAGAACATTTTGGGGCTTTGGAGATAGCTTAGTAGGCAAAGTGCTTGCTGAGTTCACTCCCCCAGAACCCATGTAAAAAGCCAGGCACAATGGCAAACACCTGCAATTGCAGCTTGGGACAATGGCGACTACAGAGCCTCTGCAGTTGGTGGCCAGCCAGTCTGGTGAAACTAGTGAGCTCCAGGTTCAGTGAATGACCCTGCCTCCAAAAGTGAGGTGGAGGGGCTGGTGAGAACGCCCAGCAGTCAAGAGCGCTTGTTGCTTTTATAGACAGCCCAAGTTAGATTCCCAGTACCTATGGGGCAGCTCACAACCATCTGTAACTTCAACTCCAAGGGATCCTGTGACCTCTTCTGACCTTCACAGGCTCTGCATGCATGTGGTGTATATACATGCATGCAGGCAAAACTCTCATGCTCATAAAACAAAATTAACAAAAATAAGGAATAAGGTGGAGAGTGAAGAAAACACCCTACACAAACTGCTCACACACACACTTATGCACATACACACATACATACATGCATGTACACATACACAGTGCATGCATACACACATGCATACATGCATATACACATACACACATACACAATGCATGCATACACACATACATATGTGCATACACACATATATACACAGAGAAGAATGAAGGTTTCAAGTATCACCTTTTGGGTTGTTTTTTTTTTTTTTTAATCTACTTCCTTGCTGCATTTTCAGTAGTGCTTGCTAGGAAAAAAAATGTGATTTCTGAATTTCTGTTTGGGAAAAATTTAGCCCTGTGAGTGTAAAGACGTGCTTCCGTGTGGGATCTTAAGTGACGCAAGCTCTGCTTCTACCAACAAGGAGGGGGCGCCATCCATGCCAGGCTTTTCTTAGACCTTGGCAGCGGCCAGGGCTCCAGGTGAAGTGTAAGCTCGAGGACTTGTAGCTCATCAAGTGTGTTAGCAGGCGCAGACCTGAGCGGAGTGTAGCTCAGCTGAGGAGCCCTGCCTAGGACATGCACAGCCCTTGGTCCACTCCACCCCCGACTCCCAGCACAAGAAAAACACCTCTGTGAAGACAAGACACCTAATGGCTTCAGCAACGGGGAGGGAAAGCTTTAGGTTTGTTAAAAGCAAAGCCCCCACAAAAGGCCCTTGACCATTTGATGGGCCTCGTGCTGTACATGAAAGTATCTTGTATTTCTCCTTTTTCTAGGTAGCGTTCTAAGACAAACCACCCATGCACCCAACCCAGGCCCCACTCCCACCCACAATCTTCCCTGTCTTCAGAACTGAGATCCTCTTCCATGGCCTGGGGAAAGACTTTTCTAGGACTGTCCCGAATATGAGAACGTGGGGCTTTACACAAAGAATGGAGGTAGAAAGTCTCATGTTGGTTAAATGTGTGTAATCTGACGCTTTAGCCCGTTTGTAGCACATCCTTTTACAAAGCCAGGCTTCCCTCATCTTTACTCCGCTGAGCAACCCTGGTCGGCTGATAGAAACAAGCGGTCAGTGGTACCCAGGCTGCCGCGCATCCTCCCCCACACAGGCCTCTCTCCTCGAGAGCCTGCTTCCTGCTCTCCAGATGCTCGTGCTTGGCTTGACAGCATGACTTCAGCCTTCCCCTGCCAGGTCCACTGCCTTACTGGTATCAAGAGCTTACAGTCAGACCCTGGCAGACCGTGCAGGACCAACAGGCTGCCAGCTACAACCCCGCCCCTCACCCTCGGCAAAGAAAACAGGAGCAGCCTGCTGTACTAGAAGGAAGGAAGAAACACACAAAAAACTCATAGGTTTTCCACAGTACCGCTAGCTGGACACAGGAAGGCCGGACGAGGCTTGAGTGGCCGGGGGCATTTGCAGTGAAATCTCTCCTGATCTAGTCGCAAGCATCAACCACTGGGCCGCACAAGTTTCTTAAAGAAGCCACTTAAAGTCTGTGTGGGGCTGAGTGCCAGCCAACCCTGTGACATCCTCGGCCTGTGTAAACCCCTCTGTGTCCTAGAAAGGTAGTGTGGATCTCTTTCACACTCAGCTAAGGAGATTGAAACCCACCTGAGCTCTCTCAGTTATAAGAATGAAACTCTGGGCATGAACCCAGAGCTCTCCGACCCCGGTGTCCAAACTCTTGGCCATTCCCCAGCATAGAGCCATCCCAGTACCCAATAGAGATCGCAGGTCTTCATGTAATTCTGCCTGGGATCAAAGTTCAGTTCCGTCTCTTTGTTGCTGTGTGCCTTTGGCCGGTTGCTAAACATTTCTCTGCATCATTTCCTTTGCGTATAAAATGAGACTCAGCATAAGACCTAGTGTGGAGTCATCTGCAGACTATATGGCTCTGTGTACATGAGTGTAGGGGAATGTCACCAAGAGCCCTTAATCTTGCTTTTCTTTTCCGCGTGACCAAGCTTTGCCAGCCCTATACTCTGCATATCTATCCCCGATGAACCAGTTCAGACTCGTTCAGCGGTGGAGCATTTCCACAGAAGAGAGGTCCGAGATCTAGCTGCTGTCTGCTTTCTCCCCAACTGGGCATGGTTAGCGACGTCCACAGAGGGGCTGGAATGCCTGTAGGAACTGTGACTGTCTCTACGGTGATGAACACCACCCCTACTACTGATGCCACCAGGGTGACCAGGCAGACTCACTCTGCCCTCTGAAGGGCTCACTCTGCCACAGCCGTGTGGGTCTGGGCAGGCAGCTGCACACAGCACCGTCCAGCACACTGAATGCAGCTACCAGTTGGGATTTTTTTGAGCAGGTCAGGTGAACTTATGAGTGGTTGGACTGGGGGGCAGATCTGAAGTAGAAGTTAGAGGGGACCCCCCAAATTTTCTCAAAGCTCTATTGCTAGCCCATCATCCACCTCTCCCACTCCACACCTGAGGATCCCATCCTCCCTGCCTCGATCTAGTCAGAGGGTCTAACCTGACACAAAGGCCCTCATGGCAGCTGTGAGGCCCACACTCTGTGATGGAAAGACCCCATTATCAGACCCTGGAAGGGGTTCAGGGTTCCAGCATGCCTTGGGCACTGACTGGCTGGTACTGTCAACTCTGTCACATTGGGCTTTCCGGCGGAGTTACCAAGATGAAGGGAGGGGCATATGACTGAGTAGTTCTCACATAGGCAGGGGAGCTAGCCAGTCGGGAAAACTCTGGGGCACACATACCACCCATTGGAGAACACTGAGTAGACATACTGAGCCCAGAGGCCTCACCCTTCTCTGAGGATATCTGGGGTGTCCTAAGAAGGGAACCTTCTGGACTGACCACTGAGACGCAGTCTGAGAAGCCGCATCTCTAGGCTGGCGTCCAGATCAATGTCTCTCTCTGGGTTCTGTACCCACATCAAGGCAGTCTCCATCCACCTCTGCTGGAGGGTGTTCCCCATCTGACCTGCCAGGAGAGATAAATCCTTCAGGGACCCAGTCTCAACCAAGCTGGAACTCTCACCCCTGGCTCAGAAAAGGTACCGCCTTTGGTGGGTCTTCTACTTGATAGGGAAAAGATCATTGCAGGGTCCTGTCGGGCAGAAGTGGACTGTAGGCAAGACAGCATCAGGGGGAGCCAGACAGGAAAGGCAACATTCTGGGACATTTATGTCCCCGACGGAACTCAGATCTTGAGGATACCAGGTTGCAGTTTGTCACCTCCCAATTAATTAGCTGAGTCCCTTGTCTAAATTGATGCCCTATTTATGCAGACCCTTACAGCCACCCACACCGAACACTTAGCCAAGTTGAACATAGGGAGCCAGAGATGCTCCCACCTCTTAATTAACCTTTGGCATGAGTGTTGGACACGCCCCAGGTCATTAGTGCCCCATGAAAGGAGCATGCGGATATTCTGGGAGTGACCACTAGATGGCGCCTCTGCCCTGCCAACCCAGGAGCACTTCACTGGAGCACTATGTAATGGAGCCTGAGCCTTACCCTTTATGCTTCCCAATGGCCTCCAGGTAAGGAAAGCCCCAGGCTCCCACCAAAAGTTTCAGGTTTGTTTGTCCTCTAGCATGAGAACGCTTCTGCAGCAGCATCTGACTGGTGTAAGGAACCCGTGAATACAGAGGGGCTCTGGCGTACAGGTAAATCATTCGCCGGGTCCCCTCCTCTTGAATGGGTCTCAAGTATATGAAGATTGGAGAGTGGAGCCCTGCCCCAGCAGGCTAAGGGTTGGAGGGTTTTGCAGGCACAGTGTGATGGGCTGGGGTGATGCTCTGGGGTAGTGATAATCTAACAAGGACAAGGCCTGGATGTGACCGACCAGCACCAACATAGGTACCCGAAAAGGGGTACCAGAACTTGGCCAGGTGCTCAGCGCACAGCAGACCAATCTTCTCTCATGATCTCATGTCTCAGTCTCATACGGTGCCTCACACTTGTCAAGATGCAAGAAGATGCTAAAAATAGTGCCTGGTCAGAACGTCTAGATTCTCGGTCTCTAAGCTAAATTATGAAAGGGTTGTACCTCTTCCATAGGATCCAAGTTCGAGTCCCAGCGCCAGCATGGTGGCTCACAACCATCTGTAACTCCAGTCCCAGGAGATCTAATGCCTTCTTCTGGCCTCCTTGGACACTGCATGTAGTTAATACACAGACATAAATGCAGACAAAACATTCATACACATAAAATAAAATAAAAAATAATGGAAAATGTGCCTTATACAGGATGTTTGGGAACAAACTGGGCTGGACCCCAGCTGTATCTCAGGGCTGCAGGAGGCTGCAGCCGAGGCAGGAAGCTGTAGGATTGTAGCTTTCCTGCGTTTACAGGTGAGGGGAGGCCTGCAGGAGAAAGGCCTCTCTCTCCTGAGCTCCTGCTCTGCTTTGACGCCCCTCACTCCTCCGTCTTCCTTACTCTGACAGTTCCCAGGGCTGGCAGCCCCTTGGACAGAAGTGTTTAAGCCTGCACACAGGTCTCCTCCCAGCGCCTGCTGTGTCATACAGACCTTCCGTCCCTGTTAGTGTACGTTAAAACTTCTGCTCTGTATCCTTTCCATCAGCTCCCTCAAGTCCTTTCTGGAACAGAACAGAACAGAACACACACAAAATAAAACAAGCGGCAGAGACCTTTCTTCTGTGGCCTCAGGTTACCCACCCAGGAAAATTTTCAAAATTTCTGCGAGACTTCCCAAGCGATGGCATTTTCTACAATGCCTCTCCTAAGAGTTGACGTTCATTTCGACAGCTCCAAGCGCTAATGTCTCCTACACGTTTTGATTTTGTGTGGGATACACAAAGCCCTCGTTTTCTGATTTTCAAAAGGCAGGATGTATCTTCTAATTTCCCTCGGAGGACTTAGGTAGCTGGCTGGGGGAAGAGGTTCGCACATTTAAATTTGGTGCATCGGGAGGCTTAAGTAGCCCTGTGACAGTTTAGATCCTAAATGACTCACAAATGCTCTTACGTAAACGGCATGGCAGCCAGCCTTGGACCTGTGGGGAGACGGTGAAATCTTCAGAAGAGAGAGCCTAGTGGGAGGAAGCTAAGTCACTGCTGGGGTGTCCTAGACAGGGGCACTGAGGCCACAGACTGCTCCCCACCCCCTCTTTGCCTTTCGGCTACTGGCTACCATGAGCAGCCTCCGTAGGACACTGTGGTGTTCTGTCTCACCACAGGTCCAAAAGCGACTGGGCCAACCCCGAGCTAAAGCCTTGGAAACCATGAGTTAAATAAACCATTCTTCCTCTGAGTTGATTTCCTCCGGTGTTTGGTCACAGCAACAGAAATCCAACTAACACGGGCAAAAGCAAACAATGCCATTTTTCTAGTTTGGCAGAGGCTTTCAGACATTTATCAATAAACAATAGCAAGCACTCGTATTCCCCCCGTGCAGCACATGTGAGCTGTTGTTTCCAACAGTGAGACACTGTTCAGAGCTCTCAGGTCCTGGGGCTGGAGAGGTGGCTCAGTGGTTAAGAGCACTGGCTGTTCTTGCAGAGGACCCGTGTTCAGTTCTCAGCACCTATATGGTGGCTCAATCATCCATAACCCCAGTCCCAGAGGAAATGAGAGCCCCAGGCATGTGCTCTCAGGTAAAACATGCATGCATATAAAATCAGACAAAAATCTCAATTCCCGAATCTCAAAGAGTCAGCCTCAAAATCAACACATAGCCAGCTGTCAGTCCTGTCTGTAGACCACACAAGTTAGTGGGACCAACCCAAAATGCCCGGGAGAATGAATGAGGCAGTAGAGTCAGGCAGATCTCTTCCATAGCCATGTCCCCAAGCAAGAGTGACCAGCAAGAGTGACCAGCCTACAGATAGATGAGGGTGACGTGTGGCACGGAAGCTGTGGTCTTCTCAGGGAAGAAGGGACAAGGCAAATACTGACTGGCCTGAGAAATGACCGGTGCTGTGTCTGTCGAGAAAGAATCTTGCTAGATATAGTTTAAGACCCCAGTGGGCCTTAAATTCGAGCTTCCCCCTCTTCATCCTCCTAAGGACAGATTGCAGTGTGCACCACACCCCATTTGAAAGACATAGACCCAGTGTATAAAGGTATCGTAAAGACACCCCTGAAAAACGCCCTGATTTTATAATAAAATGAGTTATCTCGCTCCTCTCTCACTCGCCAGGCCCCCCAGGAATAATCTACCTTATCCAAGCTCCTCCTGAGTATCTGTCTCCTTAGCTATTTATTTCCAAACATTCTTATCACCATCAAAGCCTAAAAAGCTTCAAATGACTCGCAGACCTGGGGGCTCAGGTGACAAAACCAGGGGAGACCCTTCATCCAACACCTGGGCCTCCAGCCACACTTTTACTCGAAATGTCCATTTATCATGAAAATTTTCACTGGTTTTTAGTTTGTATATGTTTCTTTTTGTTTGTCCGTTTTGAGGCCGTGTCTCACACTGCAGCCCATATAGCCCATGCTGCCCTCAAACGCTCCACAATCCTCCTGCCTCAGCCTCCCAATTACTAGTGCACATGCCACACCTGGATGTTTGTTTTCCCTGACAATGCCTCCCCTTCCCTGACTCCTGACTTTCCTGTTTCTCGTCTCTCCTTTTTGACTTCCTTCTCAGGATATTTGGGCACAAAGTATCTTGGGGCCCAGCTTCCAGAAAAGCAGTCCAAGTGGCTGAGTGTGGTGCCTTAGGCAGGCTGGCAACAGTCCCTTCCGGTCGGTCTGCTTCGGGCCGAGGGAAATACCTCCTCCACCATGTT